CCCACTCGGGTTCGAACTCTATCCAAGCCCTCACGACTTCTTGCAGACTGCTGGCAGACAGGTTGAATGCCCCAGGAACGGCGTCCTGTAGTTCTTGGCGCAGTCTCAACGCACGCGCCCGCCGGGTAGCCCTTCCCAACGATCCAACGGGTCGTCCGGTGTAGTCACGTCGTCCGCCCCAGTTTGAATCTCGTGATCTTTCCGCACCTGCAAGACCAGGTTCTTGCAGTGAACCAAGGGCCGGGGCTGCGGTTCTAGCTGCGCACTGCTCCCGCGGTGGTGCGCTCTTCATGGGCGCGTCGGATGAGCTCTTTTTTTGAAGGGCCTCCCAGTCAGCAGCAGTAACGTTGTCGAGGATGATTCCCTCTGCGATGGCGTCGCGACCGCGTGGCTTTCCAGACGTGATCCAGCCGCTCCGCCATTTCAACTCAGTGCTGTCGCTGGACCTTGCGTACAGCACTACACGGTACTTTCGTGGCTTCTGTCTATCGATGCTGAGTGTGTTGCGCAGCTTGAATCCGTCAGGAACTGACTGCTGTAGGCAGGCGATCCTCTCTTGCTCGAGCTCCATTCGGTTGCCGGTCTTCACAACAACATGTGTACACCTCTCATGTGCGGTGTCGGCTGCTGCCCACACCAACGATCGGGCCGCACTTTTTTTGAATTGGAAAATTGCATCTTGATTAATTTCGAACTGGAGCCAGGCAAAACCGGGTTCAGAACCATGTGATCTAGAACCAATTTTTTGCGAGGATTCCAAAAAAATATATTTTTTTTTCACAGAGGTGTTTGGGGCCCCGCAAATCGAGATTTCCTAGTTCCTCCGCGTTTTCGGCGAAACGGTATCTAGGACATAACTCGTCACCAACATGTCTGTGAAAGCTAAAAATAGGTTCATTCGAGAGCCCTGGTCCGTAGCTTTCGAATGGTATGCATTTTGTTGGGTTAATACCCTGGCTCCACAGAGAAATTAATCAAGATGCCTGACAGCGGGTCCTTGACAATTACCACTTTAGCAAGTATTCCCGCCTGCTAGATGTGTGAGAGGCTGAGAGGAAACTTCGCCGGGTCGACGGATAGTCGTAAGTATCACACGTATCTGCGGGGTGTTGTTATAATGCTGTGTGCGCCTTTTCGTTGGGAAACCCGAGCCAGTGTGTTGAAAATTGTTTCTAGACCTACTTGCGTTGCAAATGCAAAATTGAGAGTGCTTCGGTGAGAGTAAGCGTATAGAGCGCCACTTTTGACAAGATGTAGTACTACTTACTACTGCGTTGGTGCAAGTGGATGCCTACAACAACAGTCTAGACCCACCATCCATCCCGTCTTCCGGCATCGCTTTTTCGGCAGCCACCTTGGCCTTCGTAAGGCGAGTGGCGTGCGTCAGACGTTCGCGTTGGTTCTTGAGGGGACCCCCTGACCTTTTATCCCGGCAGGTCTCATGGGAGATGGTATAGCGTCTACTGTACATACATTAATGTTGCGTAAAGTTAATTATCCGAGCTATGCTATGTTGTGATGTAGTTCGTAAAGAACGGAAGAGAGTGCGCCCACGAAAGGAAAAGGCAAGCGGAAATGCGATCACCCCTCATGTAGAACATGTAGAACATAGCACCGTGTATCTTTCAGCGAATCTCTCCCATCCCGGGCGCTTCGTTCAGTGGATGGACCGGATGGGCACCCCGGCTACACCAATAGCATGCGCCGCGCGCTTGCCCGACTGCGAGAGGGTGCTGAGGAATTCGTGGAAGACCGAGGCACGAGAGATGTCACTGACCCTGTGCCGTAGGTATGCTCCAGTTCTTGCCCTGTGTGAGTGTGGGAGAGGCCAGACAAGTGTTCGAAACCCTCTGTATAGTCCATCGGCCCAGGGCAGGAGAGTCCTTCTTGTGGGGTGAGCTGAAGGCCGAGGATGAGCTCCAATAAGCCAGTATTCAAGTCATAATCGATCGTCTGGTCAACGACTCCGTTATCGTTGTCGACCCTTCCCTCCATCGCGGCCATCGTGATCAACAGATCTTCAAAGGGCTGTTGACTACATTGGCTGCGTTAGAGGGTAAAGGCGACAGACAGCGGAAGCGGAGTCGTTAACCTGACATTGTTGACCTGACATGCTGATGACTTGAAGACTCTCTTGTAAGAGTTCAGCCTCACACATGAGCTCGCCTTGCCGGAAAGGCTCTCCTCTCTCGGGTCGCTGCACTTCATGGGTGGTTTCGTAGACGAGTCTGGTCTCCGCCACGCCCTCACGGAGCAAAAGCTTGACGACGACGGCGTCTACTACACAAGACCGAGATTGTTTCTGCGGCGGTTTTGTACGGATTCCTCAACACCTTCAAGAAGTCGTCGAACATAGCGGCATCTTCTTTGGTGCAGCCGGTATGCCCACTCCGTCCACCGAACGAAGCGCATGGGATGCAAGAGGCTCGGTGGCAACTGACGCAGGTGCAGCCGGTGTGCCCACTCCGTCCACCAAACGAAGCGCATGGGATGCAAGAGACTCGGTGGCCACGTTGTCGCGGTGGAGGCGGCGACATCGAATATGGTTGTGAAAAAGAAGGTGACGACGAAAGTGGTAGATGATGGTCACTTGATCGACCTTGTTGCCGTGACGACAATAGCGTTCTCGGGGAAGGCGACGATGTGCATGACCCTCCCTCCTCTGCTACCTCTATCGGCACGAGAGACGACTGCGGCGGAGGGAGTTGTGACGGCAACGCTTCCCATGTCACATCCCTCGTTTCTTGAAATAGTTCCAGCCCTCGTAAGTACTCTATGACAGTCAGGCGGGTGGTCTCTCGAAGGACCGACATAAAACAAGCCTCATCCTTCGGTAGCAGCTTAGACGGTCGCTGCCACCTACAGTATGTCGGTTTCAAAACGGATACGGTCAAGTAGGACTAGCTTCGCCATACCACACCTCATACGGTGACTTGCTGTCTGGGTTAGCGGAACAAGCTGTGTGGTTATGTGCTTCGCAACCCCAGTGCATGGTCTCAGTCCAGCGTCTGTCAGTCTTAGGTAACTGCACATGCCCAAACACAACCTTCGCCTGAATACGAG